CTGCTATTGACATGGATTGGCTTCGATGCTTCCTCCTCCTCAAACAGAAAGGTCTGAGTTTTCTGTCAAACAGCAGGCCTCTAGGTGAGGACTGGGTAAGTTTCCAGCCACAAACAGAGGAATACCGTTCCAGAAGCACTTTGGTATCAATAACTGTACAATTATATGTTGGTATTGAGAATTTCTGGTTCTTATAGGGTTCTAGCACCTATACTCAAATCTTGTGGTGCCTCCATGTATCAGATTATTTGGAAGGGTCTGAGGAGAGCTGGGGCAAATGCAAAGCTGCGGCTGCGGGGGGCTAGGATGCGTATCTAAGGCTCAGTTTCATAAGCTCCTTCACATCACAGGATGGGAAAAGAGGTCAGTGGCTATTCTGGAGTGATCGATCAAAACCAAAGTCATATGCACAGATTGGTGGCAGCCAGTGACCAGTCCCTAAGCAATCCCCTTCTAAATCAAGTTCTTTGAGAGGCGGGAACTATATCTTATTCATGACTGGATCCCCAGAATAGCTCCTGGCATAAAATCAGCACTCAAGAAACATTTGGTGAATGAAGTATTGACACATGCAGCAACATGGAGAGACCCTGAAAACATTGCACTAGTAGGTTGGCACAAAAGTCATTGTGGTTTTGAAAATAATGGCAAAACCCACAATTACTTTTGCACCAACCTAATAAATGAAACTAGTCACAAAAGATCACTTTTTTTTTTCTTTGAGATGGAGTCTTGCTCTGCTGCCCAGGCTGGAGTGCAGCAGCGTGATCTCAGCTCACTACAACTTCCGCCTCCTGGGCTCAAGAGACTCTCCTGCCTCAGCCTCCTGAGCAGCTGGGATTACAGATGTGCACCACCATGCCTGGCTAAGTTTTGTATTTTTAGTAGAGATGGCGTTTCACCATATTGGCCAGGTTGGTTTTGAAATCCTGACCTCTAATGATCTGCCTGCTTCAGCCTCCCAAAGTGCTAGGACTACAGGCATGAGCCACCATGCCCGGCCAAGAACACATATACAACTCTACTTATTTGATTTCTTTTTCTTCTTTTTCTTCAAAGATGAAGTCTCACTCTGTCACCCAGGCTAGAGTACAGTGGCACAATCTCAGCTTACTACAACCTCTGCAGCCCCAGCCTCAAGCAATCCTCCTACCTCAACCTCCCAAGTAGCTGGGACCACAGACACATGCCACCACGCCTGGCTGGTTTTATATTTTTGGTAGAGATGGGGTTTTACCATGTTGCCTTAGGTTGGTCTGGAACTCCTGAGCTCAAGCAATCCTCCCACCTTGGCCTCGCCAAGTGCTGGGATTATGGGCGTAAGCCACTGTGCCTGGCCTCAATTCTACTTATTTGAAATGGCCAGTGGATAAATCTAAAGAGACAGAAAGTAGACGAGAGGTTGCCTAGGGTTGGGGAAGATGGAGGAGTGGGGACTGAAGAGTAATGGCTAAGGGGTGTAGGATTTCTTTTTAGGGTAATGAAAATGTTCTAAAATGAACTGTGGCAATGGATGCACAAGTCTAGAAACATAGTAAAAGCCAATGAATTTTACACTTTAAATGAGTGAAGTGTATAGTATATAAATTGTATCCCAAAAGCCGTTAAAAAGAAGTATTTGATGAATAAACAAATGAACCAATGAATATAGGATCCAGTTGCTGACTCTTGTTCTTAGAGTTACTTAGAATCATGGACTATTAGAATCATGTAAAATGCCAGACAAAGAATATTCACTCACACTCTCATTCATGCATTGATTCATTCGGCAGGCATTTATGGAGTGTCTGGCATGTATCTAGGTACGATGCTAAGTGACACTGATTAAGCAGCAAACAAGATTACTATGGATTCCACTTGCCCTCTTGGGACATACACTCTCACACTTATGGTTCCTTTTCTTTATTTAGAAATTCTCTAATTGTTGTCATAGCTGACCTTCATTCTTAAGTTCAGTCTTTAAGGATGCTGAGTTTATCTCCCCAGATTTTGGGGCTGAATCTTCCTTAAAATGATCTGAGCCCAGGCTGGGCACTGTGGCTCACGCTTGTACTTTGGGAGGCTGAGGTGGGCAGATCATTTGAGGTCAGGAGTCTGAGACTAGCCTGGGCAACCTGGTGAAACCCTACCCATCTCTACTAAAAATACAAAAAAAAAAATTATCTGGGCATTGTGTGCGCACCTGTAACCCAAGCTATTCAGGAGGCTGAGGCAGGAGAATCACTTGAACCCAGGGAGCGGGGGCAGAGGTTGCAGTCAGCTGAGATCACACCACTGCACTCCAGCCTGGGTGACAGAGTGAGACACTGTCTCAAAAAAACCAAAAAAAAACAAAAATAAAAAATAAAATGATTTGAGCCCAAAGGGGAACTATCATGGAAATTTTAAGCTAACTCCACTTGGCTGCTTTTAAATTACAAGCTATAATCTCCCATACTTTTTAAATTTTTCAGTGAAGAAAAAAATCCCAATCTCCTTTGGATAGTGGATAAATCAAAATGATAAAACCCGAACTGCAGCTTTTACCAGTGGCAGTTGCTATTGGGAAAGAAAAGTATCCACTGAATAATGAGGGGAAAAACCTACAAAATTTGGAGTGCGTGATCACTAAACAGGTTTTGCACATGACCAGCAAAATTAGGTCATGAGCTGTGAGCTGCAAAACACCCTGTCCCACAGTGCGGCTGGTGTCTGCCGCTGGGAGGAATAAGTTCCCATCTTCACAGTCGGCGGAGGAGTTGGTTGGCACGTTTCAAAAGGAGCGAGGTGATTCTTGGGGCAGCGCAGCCAGTGCAGCTTTGTTTTCAATGGGTCAAACCACAAAGCAGAAATGACACCATGACAGGTGGGAGACTCAATCTCCTCGTGTTCCCGATCCCCGTCTCTGGATTCAGGCTGGCTGACGTTCCAGTCCCGCCTCTGCTACTTATAGCTATCAGTATATTCGTGTGACGCTGTTACCCTCTCTGAGCCTCAGGTCCCACTTCAATGAAGTGAGCAGTAATAGCCTTCCCTCAACTGGGCTTCATTACTTTCATGCCTTTTTTTTTTTTTGAGATGGAGTCTCACTCTGTCCCCCATGCTGGAGTGCAGTGGCACAATCTCGGCTCACTGTAACATCTACCTCCCAGGTTCAAGTGATTCTCCTGCCTCAGTCTCCCAAATAGCTGGGATTACAGGTGCCCACCACCACACTGGGTTAACTTTTGTATTTTTAGCAGAGATGGGGTTTTGCCATGTTGGCCAGGCTGGTCTCCAACTCCTGACCTCAGGTGATCCACCCACCTCAGCCTCCCAAAGTGTTGGGATTACAGGCGTGAGCCACTGCCCGGCCACTTTCACGCCTCTCTGGTCTCCAACCACAACCCTCTTCATCACAAGTCACTGCCAACCTTTGCCCCTTCTTTCCTCAGAGTATACCCTAGGGGTGTGTGTGTGTGTGTGTGTGTGTTGTTGTTGTTTGCCTAATTCTCTCACCACCCTCCAACTCTGTCTTCAGAGCAGAAGGCTCCCCACAGAAACCACAAAGGATCATTTTAAAGGGAAGTAACAGTTTTTACAAGGATTAGGTGAGACAGTTAAGGTAAACACATTTAAATAGAACAACGAAGGTAAATGCATTCAGTATGGTTCAGGGAAGGTAGGCACTCTTCAACAAACATGATTTTGCTACATGTCCACTTGAAACCCTAGCTCGGGTTTGTTTGTTTGTTTTTATTCCTTTTTCTTTTTTCTGAGATGGAGTCTCACTCTGTCATCCAGGCTGGAGTGTAGTGGTGCAATCTTGGCTCACTGCAACCTCTGCTTCCCAGCTTCAAACGATTCTCTTCCCTCAGTCTCCTGAGTAGCTGGGACTACAGGTGTGTGCCACCATGCCTGGCTCATTTTTCGTATTTTTAGTAGAGATGGAGTTTCACCATGTATGCCAGACTGGTCTTGAATACCTGACCTCAGGTGATCTGCCTGCCTTGGCCTCCCAAAGTGCTGGGATTACAGGTGTGAGCCGCCATGCCCGGCCTAGCTCAGGTTTTGAGTTAAGTAAGTTAACTGAGGCATGGTCCAACTAGCTCATGTGGTTAAAAATTGTGAATGACGGTGAAATCCGACACAGAAATTAGGGGCTTCTAACTATTTCTGCCAAGTCCTGGCTCTGGACTGATCTTGAAAAGCTTCTGCTGACATAAATAATATACTTTGCCCTTCCCTCCACTGGGGCTTTATCACCTTCATGCCCTTCCAGTCCCCACTCTCAACCCTGTTCATCACAAGTCACTGTCAACCCTTGCCCACTGATATGGTTAGGCTTTGTGTCCCCACCTAAATCTCATCCCGAATTGTAATCCCCAGGTGTTGAGAGGGCGACCTGGTGGGAGGTGATTGGATCACATGGGCGGTTTCCCCCATGCTGTTCTTGTGATACTGAGTGAGTTCTCGAGATCTGATGGTTTTATAAGCATCTGGCATTGCCCCTGCCTGCACTTCTCTCTCCTGCCACCATATGAAAGAAGTCCTTGCTTCCCCTTTGCCTTCCGCCATGATTGTATGTTTCCTGAGACTGTGCAGAACTGTGAATCAATTAAACCTCTTTTCTTTATAAATTACCCGGTCTTGGGTAGTATTTTACAGTAGTGTGAAAACACAAATACAGCCCCCCTTTTCTTAGAATATCCTCTAGGCTGTGTGTATGTGTGTGTGTCTGTGTGTGTGTGTGTGTGTGTGTGTGTGTGTGTAGGGGTCAGGCTTTTTCTGCCTCTTCATCTCACCACCCTCCAACTCTATCTTCAGACCCTGAGGCTCCCCACAGCAACCACAAAGACTCATTTCGCTTCCCTTTGGAAATGCAGAACGTATTTTGTTTTGGGGCAAATCCCAAATAGACCCCTCTACCAGTGCCAGTTTCTTCCCTAAATGCTCCTTTTTCACTTGTATACACTTCAGGTTTCTCTAAGAAGCAGTGGCCACACAGAGCTGAGTTGGTTTCAAGAGTCCAGGAGACGTACCTGGCTGCTTTCTGAGTGAGCTCCAGCGGGAAATCAGGGCACAGTAATTGCAGCAAACAGTGATATTCTTTCATAGTCAGCAAATCTGAAGTGGAAATGGGAGGAACACATTAGGTCTCTGCGTTTCAGGTCACTGTTCTCTTTTTGTTCATTTCATGAGTTTCAGACCTGGTCTTGGGAGAGCTGCTCTTTTAAAGGTGAGCCAGTGTTAAAAGGGTATGCTAGTCTCTAACCTCCAGGTGTGAGATTTTAAGATCAATATTCCTACAAAGCCTTTCCTGGGTGGGAGGCACCCAGTTACAACATTTTGACCAAAGGAGCTTCCCTGGTATGAAAACTGGTCGGGTGAAGAGAGCAAACGAGAGAGGCACCTTTATCAACCTTCTTTAGTTTAGTTTTCTTTGTATATAAAAATATGGAAGAACAAGTCATTTCAAAGCCGGTTAAATCGGCCGAAATCCTCTGGCATGGTGACATTTACCACCACATTCCCAAAGACCATCCACAGAATATCTGGAAGCAGTACCAAGGCAAACACTCTTGCTGTGTGTGGAGGAGGAGCACAGCACAGAAACCCACAGACCTCATTACTCTGTCATCCAGCACTGCAGCAGGCTGGCTTCTCTTTGATGCCTGCAACGAATCTGGTCATCCTATTATAGGAAGCCAAGACAAAGGTCCAAGATATACAGTCAAGGCAACCACATGATTCCTGACATGCAGAAGCAGTGCTTTGGGAGAGGTGGGCCAGGATGAGGTTCTGTGGCCCAGCAGAGAACCCAGAGAGGCAAATCTCAGACAGATTTATAGGATCCCGAGGGAGAAGAAAACATTGATGCTTAAAAAGTAATTCTGTTGCTGCGTGTACTGAAGGCAAAAGATTTCAGATCAGCCAAGGAGTGAGAACGTGCAAGTATTACCACATACCAAAGCATTTTGAATATGGAAGAACCCAGTAACACTAAAGTGAGAGCAATCTACCCCGAAGCCTGTCTAACTGGGAGGAGGATGAGTGAGAGGAGGGAAACCAGAGGGCATGGCTACATATGGGGAATGGAGATGATGATCATAGGCACTTGGCTTCTCTGGACCTAAGTGAACCCAAAGCCACAGGAATCCAGACCTCCTGCCCCTGCTAGTTCGGTTGATGCTTTTCCAAGACAAAAACCCCAAATCTCCAGGGAAAGGCCTGGGCTCCTAGTACTTTTTCATCAAAGCTCAATTCAAGGTGGGGACAGAGAGTTTGACTAACCACACTGCCGAAGTCAGGAACACCAAAGGAACAGACTCAGCGTCAATATAGGTCAAAGGATCAAGATGGCTTTTGCGGCACTTTCCTCTTCCCACTCGCCTGACCTCGGGCACAGCCTGGCAGGAGGTCTTGTTCTTCAACGGAGGGAGTCATCGCCATTCATGGTCTCAGACTTGGGGTGAGGATAAAGGCGAAGAGAAGGGAGAAAAGCCACTGAATCTAATGTGTTTCCACTTCATTCTCACTCCAGAACTCCCCATGTGGAGAGAAGAGTGATTTCTGGCAGGGGGTAAATAAAGGAAGTTCTATCTTTGAATCATCAGTGCTTTTCTAGGCTAAACTTTGGTGGATAGAACTGACAGCATTCTTAGGGAGAGTCAGTCTTTCATAGGAACTTACCCCCAAACTACCTACAAAATATTTGGGAAGATAACAGAATGAGGGAAAATGAAAAAATGAGGCCGGGCGCAGTGGCTCAAGCCTGTAATCGCAGCACTTTGGGAGGCCAAGGCGGGTGGATCACGAGGTCAACAGATCGAGACCATCCTGGTCAACATGGTGAAACCCCATCTCTACTAAAGATACAAAAAATTAGCTGGGCATGGTGGCGCATGCCTGTAATCCCAGCTACTCAGGAGGCTGAGGCAGGAGAATTGCCTGAACCCAGGAGGCGGAGGTTGCGGTGAGCCGAGATCGTGCCATTGCACTCCAGCCTGGGTAACAAGAGCGAAACTCCGTCTCAAAAAAAAAAAAAAAAAAAAGAAAAGAAAAAATGAGAGAGAGAATTAATTAAGAAAGACAATGCTAGGATTCAACATTAGCTTCCTGGTTTCTACACCCTAGTCCCTCTTCAGGTTCTGGATGTTATTCTTACTTATGCACTTCAAAGATTTACTTCCGGCCAGGCGTGGTGGCTCAAGCCTGTAATCCCAGCACTTTGGGAGGCCGAGGTGGGTGGATCACGAGGTCAAGAGATCGAGACCATCCTGGTCAACGAGGTGAAACCCCATCTCTACTAAAAATACAAAAAGTAGCTGGGCATGGTGGTGCGCGCCTGTAGTCCCAGCTACTCGGGAGGCTGAGGCGGGAGAATTGCTTGAACCCAGAAGGCGGAGGTTGTGGTGAGCCTAGATCGTGCCATTGCACTCCAGTCTGGGTAACAACAGCGAAACTCCATCTCAAAAAAAAAAAAAGATTTACTTCCAAGACAGAAAAATGATTTACAAATATCACTGTGTACTTCTCTAATGCAACAAAAGCTCTTAAAAATACTAAAAGCAGAATACATCCTGCTCACCACTTCTGGAACTTGACTCTTCTAAATGATAAGTACGGACAGCATTCAGACAAAGAGATTAATAAAAATGCGAGCAAATAAACTTTTAATTGTGGAGAAGTAGCTATTGGTTATTGTTACTATTATTCTTCCACGCAGACTCTGTGCTGGTGGTGTGGAGAGAGGAGTTCTAATTCTACCGAAGTAGTGATCAGATAATATCAAGGCCAGATGATTTCTGTTACTTTGAGACGCTCCTCAGCTGCCGTACAGTGGGTATTGAGAGAACTATGAGCGGTAAGACTTGTTTCAAAATCAGAACGCTGAGGAGCATATGGGCGCTTGTTCCCTTCCTGCTCCATAGGGTCGGGTTCAACTCTTGGCTCTGCAATTGACCAGGTATGTAACCTTGGGCAAACTGCTTAATCTCTCCAAGTCTCCGTTTCTCATCCGTAAAATGCAAATGATACCGACACTTTTCAGGGTTAAAGTCAAGTGTAAAGAGATGATGTGTATAAAGTACTGAGCAGAAGGTTTAGAACTTAGTAACATTAAACACTGGGAGTAGTTTTGGTTCTGTTTTAAATCCTGGGGGTGAGGAGAGGAGAAGAAAGGAGGAAGGTATTCGTTGCTGAGTGGTTTTTTTTTTTTTTGCTGAGTGTTTTTTATTAAAAAAAAAATTTTTTTTTTGAGACGGAGTTTTGCTCTTGTTGCCCAGGCTGGAGTACAACAGCATGATCTCGGCTCACCACAAGCTCCGCCTCCCTGGTTCAAGCGATTCTTCTGCCTCAGCCTCCCGAGTAGCTGGGATTACGGGCATGTGCCACCATGTCCAGCTAAAATTTTAATTAATAGATTAATTTTGAGATAGGGGCCTCACTCTGTTACCCAGGCTGGAGTACAGTGGCATGATCATAGCTCACTGCAGTCTTGAACTGAGCTCAAGTGATCCTCCTGCCTCAGCCTCCCATGTAGCTGGGACTAGAAGCACATGCCATCATGCCGCACCCATTTTAAAAATGTTTGTAGAGACGGGGTTCTCATGCCATCACCCAGGCTATTCTGGAACTTCCCGCTTCAGCCTCCCAAAGTGCTGGGATTACAGGCATGAGCCTGGCTGTTGCTGAGTCTGGACATTACATACCTAAAAGCGTTCTGCTTTGAAAATTCTCTGTCAGGTTGCCTGAGTTAAATCCAACATTCTCCTGCAGTGGCCACTCACTTCCTGTTCCCATGTGCCTGCTCTGTTCCAGGCTCCACATTATGATGAACAAGCCAGCAGTCCCCCTAGCTTCTGCTGCCAGCATTCAGGCACCAGATCACCCCAATGCTCCTACTTTGGGCTCTTATGCACTTAGAATTGTCCAACATCTCAAAGGCCCTTCTCGCAGCCCTTTGTGCTCCAGCAATAAGTGCAATGAGAGTGAGCAGTCATGGAGAACTGTGCTTAGCTCTTGAATTAACTCACTTAGGCCAAGCACAGTGGCTCATGCCTATAGTCCCAGCTCTTTGGGAGGCCGAAGCAGGTGGATCACCTGAGGTGAGGAGTTCCAGACCAGCCTGGCCAACGTGGTGAAACCTCATCTCTACTAAAAATGCAAAAATTATCCCAGCATGGTGGCAGGTGCCTGCAATCCTAACTACTTAGGAGGCAGGAGAATTGCTTGAACTCAGGAGGTGGAGTATGCAGTGAGTTGAGATCACGTCACTGCATTCTAGCCAGGGTAACAGAGTGAGAATCCATCTAAAAAAAAAAAATTACATAGCCTTCACAGCAACAACTTTATGAAGTAGGCTCCATTATTCCCAGTCCCATTTGACAGATGAGGATGAGGAACTTTAGAGGGATGAAATACGCTGGTGAGCAAGGAGAGGAGGGTCCAGGGTAGGGGACAGGAAGGGGACCTGCCTTCCCTGAGCAAGATCTCAGGCTGGGAAGGAGGGAAGGGAGGCTGATGGCAGCAGAAATTTATTAATGATAACACGGCTAACATTTATTGAGCACTTCTTCTCGGGGAGGCACTGTTCTAAGGGGTTTACATATGTTATCTCACTAATCTTCACTATTATCCTCATTTCACAGACACAAAAACTCAGATTGTGCACACTTACGAGGTAGAACTGGAATTCAAACCCAGGCAGTCTGGCTCCAGAGCCTACCCAGTTAACACTCTCAGCACCTTAATCTTATCAGCTATAATGTGTGAGGCTTAAGAGCTTGTTTTCCCCTCTAAACAAACTGCAGGAACTAAATAGCTGCAGGTGAACTGGATCAAGGAGACAATTCAAGTGAATTGGGATTTTCTGCATAAGAAATTGAGTCTGAAAGGTTCTAATTACTGTTAACAGGTTAGACTGAGGCTCCAGCACAGCGGCTTCAGTTAGACCAGAGGACATGGGCTGGGGGACACTTGTGCTGGAGGCCACGCCACCATCTCTCATCCCCACCCACCTGCCAGCCACTGTTCTACCTGGCAGGTGCAGGGGAGGTATTGTGTATCCATAGACATCTTCTCTAAAGGAATATCCCCACAATGAGAAGGGAGACAGCCAGTAG